AGTGTAAACTTAGGTAAATGACTAGCTTTTAAAAGTCAGCAGGTTAATATGAGTTTGTAAAGGAAGCAACAGAAAAATGATGGCAAAAGTATTTTTCCCAAACATGCTATGTATGTCCTTAGTACTTAATGAGAAACTAACTATACTGATGAGTGAATCTTTGAGTAACAAAGCATGCGAAAAATTGGCACCATGGTGTAAGGTGAAAAGTAAGTAAGATTATTTTAGTTGAGAGCCCCAGATCATATGATCTGGTTAGTTTAACACATTACACACACTTCACTTTTCACTGACATGGTGAGATTGCGATAGGCCAGTTGTGCATCGGCATGGTTCAAAAGGGAGGTTAACCACATTAGATCACAAAGTGGGATCACATTAGATCACAAAGTGGGGTCACTTAGATCACAAAGTGGCATCATTACACAATTGCCAAGTTCATCACTACACAACTGCCCAACTACAAAAACTCGTGGTCCAGCCATGTTGACACATAACCTTGACTAACACAGCAAGCATTTCATATTTTGGCTTTTGTTACTGCCAGATGGATGTCATAAAAGCACAAAATAGTCTAACGTGTTACAGTTAAATGCACAAGTTTGGTAAGGACACAGTCAATACGTGAGAAGGAGGAGTGCCAACGTAGTACTATGCAGGCCACTTGTAAATTGCAAGGGGGACAATGTAGACTCCCACTATTGCATCAGATCATCAACACCTCCTTTGGGGTTGGCTAATTGTAGGATCACCAGTGATGGGTCCATTAGATGGAACATGTTACCTAATATAAAAAGATGACGTAAACACATGACTTAAGGTGTGTATATTTTAAACATACTTGACTTTTCATCCAATCTTCAGTTGATCACAAATACAGAAAACCGGAGAACAAATAAAGTAGCCAAAAAGAAGTATCCTGACAAATCTAAGAGATGACCCAGCCTATACGATATCTGGTCTGGTTAAGTTTAGTCAGTGTCATGAGAGAGGCTGTTACTAATTTAGACGGGTCAAACTATCATGCATGTGTGCATTGATTAAACCAGATGCTAGATGTGTATAGGACATCTTAGGGATGACTGAGGGGAATATGAATATAAGTATATTAGGAAAGATAAAGAATTTATATGTTAAAAAAGCTCAACAAAACATTGTTATTGAGTCAATTCTGACTCATAGTGACCCTATAGGACAGAGTAGAACTGCCCCGCTGTGGGTTTCTGAGCTGGAACTACAGGAGGAGAAAGCTGGATCTTTCTCCAGAGGAACAGTTGGTGGGTTCAAACTGCTGACCATGTGAAAGTGGTCATTAAAAAGTCTGGTTTTAAAACTAATACCACCTAGTTTGGATATAAAAAATTCTATATGCATACAAACTGATGGTTGGCCCACACTGAAACACTTAGAGAGTAACAAGGGGTCACCATTGATACTTGTGCTAAGACAACAGTGATGATGTAGGTCTTAACAGGAAATTGGTAGCTCTGACCACCTTTCAGGCAGCTGTTCCCAAACTGCAGTGCGCAGGATTGCTAGAGGAACTTGTTACATGGGGACTCTTAGGCCAAAGATTTTGACTTAACAGGCTTGAGGTGGGGCCTAAGAACTTTTCTTTACAAGTAACCTGGGATTAGTTTCTGGTTGACAACACCAGTAGACTGGATGGCTAACTTGTAGATAATGTTTTATAGAAGTTTTTGCTTTTAATTACCACAGCCTGTTGTCACTTGTCTTACAGTGACCCGCTATAGCAGTGGTTCTCAACCTGTGGGTCATGACCCCTTTGGGGGTCAAATGACCCTTTCACGGGGGTCTGATTCATAACTAGTAAAATGACAGTTATGAAGTAGCAATGAAAATAATTTTATGGTTGAGGGGTCATCACAACATGAGGAATTGTTAAAGGAAGGTTGAAAACTGCTGCTCTGTAGGCTTTTCAATGGCTAATTTTCAGAAGTAGATCATCAGACTTTTAAAAATTTCAATATATCATTTTATTGCTCTTAAAATCATCCATCCATCCATTAGCTCAAGCACATTTGTACACATTTTCTTCGTACTGGAGCCCTTGATATCAGCTCCTCATGTTTTCCTCCCTTCCCCACCCTGCCACCCTCATGAACCCTTGATAAATTATAAATTATTATTTTCATATCTTACACTGTCCGCTGCCTCCCTTCATCCATGTGTCTTGTTCATCCCCCTTGGGAGTGGGTGGGGTGGTTATACATTGATCATTGCGATGGGTTCCCCCTTTTTCCCCTCTCCTCCCCCACCTTCCCCTACCCTCATGGTATCACTACTCCCATTACTGTTCCTGAGGGTTGTATCTGTCCTGGATGCTGTGTGTCGAGAGCTCTTATCTGTACCTGTGTACATGCTGTGGTCAAGCTGTATTTGTAAGGTAGAACTGGGGTCATGATAGTGGGGCGGGGGTGGGGAAGTATTAAATAACTAAGAGTAATGTATGTTTCATCG